AACATATAGTGGGATTTACAACTTTCATAGTGAGAGTTACTACTTTGTTAATAGATTTTGTAACATGTTGTGAGGCCAAAAATCAAAATTCTAAATCAGTACCTGATGCCTTCTTTGTTATTTTGTTTATTCAAATGCCTTATTTATTATTTTAAAAATCAGAAAATATTTTATTGTTATTTTCTTTTCTTATTTCATGGTGGCATATTCTGTTTTCAGGTCACGCCAAATCTTTCCATTTCATTTCTCGGCATTCACACAACTTTGTCTTTTTCTATAAACATATTCCCCGGTTTCAGTCTCTTTTCATAAAATTTGTTTTCCTCATAATAGTGGTTTTTAATATATAAAATAAATTTTCTTTGTCTGAGATTTTCAACTTGTCTTTTTACTTTTATAAATATATGTCATTTATTGTCTCTATATAATAAATTTTCACTCAATATCTCATCTACTCTCTTTATAAACAAAGGTAAAATTAAACATACATATATCTCACATATTTATTATTTTAAATTAAATTTATCTAACATTTTAAACTGTATGATTTTGATACTTGTTTTTTTATAAATTATAATAAGAGAAGGAATGAGTAATTTGAGAAACTCTCTTAATATGTATAATTGATAGATATAATAAAAAAAACTATAAATTTAGAAGGCAGTAAAGTTTTATATTTAAGATAAAAACAAAACCATATACTAGTTAATATATTTAAAATCAAAAGTAGTAATTATAAGTAAAATTTGCAATTTTCGTAGGAGACTATAGACTAAACAACTCACCCAAGTCACGAACTTTCGAAGGAAATTCCAAGCAACCATATAATAGTGAATAGAATAGAAAAGGCGGGTTAATTAACTAGCTAGTGGGACGACCAAACCCCGCGTTTAATTAGCAAAAACAACATATACTATCACATTAGTCAGCCAACTCAATTGGATTCCAAAAGGTTTTATCAATTATTATCTCCCCTCTGTAATATAAGATCCAATTGACTAAATTAGAGAGATTAAGAAAGCTATTAAATTACTTAATTATAATATATGTTACATGATCTCTCTAAAATATTTATATTAATTTATTAGTAAGTCAAATTAGTTTGGAGAAAAAGGATAAATATAAATACTATAAAATAATTTAATAAATTTTTTAACCTCTTCAAATGAGTCGAAGAGTTAATTAAATCCTATATTAAAAATCGAAAGTAGCACTTTTAATAAGACTAATCCTTCTCAAATTCTCTTCACCCTTCTTCATTTGTTTGTTAGTGTGGTCGCGAGGTGAATCCAAAGATATGAATGGTGCAATTTCTTGAACGATGACCGTACGTACCAAGACGCGCTGCGTTCATTTGCTTCTTTTGATGCCATCCATCAACTTCACCAACTTTTTGCTTTTTGACTTACTAGACCAATCCAATTAGCCATTTGGTTGTAAATTTGTTTTGGAGAATTCCAAATGATCAATCCTCTAATTTTTGACTTACAAATACCCCTCTTATTCTTCTAGTTATGATATTCTACACGTGATATTTTACTTTGATTTTAAATATTACCTCCGGTCCTAATTATAAGACCCAGTTGACTTATTTGAGGAGATTAAGGAAGTAAGTTAAGTTAGTTATTTGTAATAAATAAGTGTTGTCATTCCTAAAATATCTTTACTAATTAAGTGTATTGGCTAGAACTATCATTGTTAGAAGGATTATCTTGAAAAAAAATACATAAATATGAGAGACAAAATAGATTGGGGTCTTATAATTAGGACCAAACAAAAAGTCAAACGGGATCTTATATTAAGGACTGGAGGTAGTATAAGAATTAGATAACTAATTCATAAAAATTAAAAAATTAATTAATTTGGTTATTTATAAAAATATTATGTGGTTATTTATATAAAATATCTCATTTAATTATTTGCATTGGAAGCTGCTTCATTGATATAAGCCTCTTTTACTATGTATTATTTTATTAAAAAATTATAAATTTGAAAGATAAAATAAATTAAAGTTTTCTTTTTATGATCAAAATAATTATGCCGACTACCTTCTATATTTAAGGCTGGAGGGAGTAATGAAAATTTCTCACAGAATTTAATGAAATGTTTGTTTAAAGAGCTTTTGCCTCTTTTGCATTTATCTTAACGAATGGTCGTTCTAGCCTCCCTCTTTCTCTTAAGTAATATTCATATAGTTAAATGTATATTTAGTAATCTCATTTAATAAAAAATAATGAGTTAACAAATTTGATACAAATTACGAATATAATTATATCAAATAATTAATTTTTTCGATACGAATCAACATTTAAAATGATACTAATGTTGTTAGGATTAAGTGGCTAAAAATAAATTTGATAAACTTAGAGGACTAAAGGTAAACTTTGATGTAATCTTAAAAGAGAAAACTTATATTTTAGCCATATTTATACTGTATAAGTTTAATTTGTATGATCTTTCTTTTTGATCTGGAGTTTGATTTGTATGATCTAAAGTTTATTTTTATGATTTTAATAATGATTATATTTAAAAATAATAAATGAAATACCAATTAAATATAAGCCATCAGACAATTCCAAGAAAAGTTGGCAGAACAAAATAATTACGAAGAAAACAAAACATCCTGTCTTTTTCCAAGCTGGAAAGCGGCAAGCCTTTCGGCTTTACTTGATAAAGAGGAATAAGAAAATAAAAAAAATAAATAAATAAAGGAAGAAAGGGAAAAGGAACAAATACGATAATCCACATTGCCAACTGCAATAAACCGGTTCTAGTTCATTGTATTTCGCTACAAGATCTCATAGACAAGGATTTCCTTTTTAAGGAGGGGAAAAGCAAACTATAAATTTGTATACCCACTTTTATTGTTTTTATTTGCAAAAAAAATATTATTCTAAATCTTACTTTAATTTCAAAAACTTAAACAATATATTGAAAATTACCTATACTTTTAACTTGCTACTAAATATTATACCTGATTCTTAATACAAAACCCAATTAATTAATTTGAGGAAATTAATAAAATTACATAAATTATTTAAAAATATTTATATTTATCTTTATTTGACTTATAAACTAATATATATGAAGGCGCGTTGATGACATATCTTGGCATCTATATGGATATATTTTTACCTATTTTGCATCAAGAATTTTCTATTCCATACCATAACCTAGCGGCTCCTGAGATTAGTAAAATCTTCAACACTTTGTTTTGAACCGAGCTTGTGTTCCACTTGATAACAGGCTAAAACAATTTGAAATAGCTTTTAGGTAGCTTTTCAATCGTGATTTATGAAATACAAAGCATATATGTATGAAAAATTTTATCTCGACTTGCGTGAAACTTACTTATAAGTGGTTATTTAAATGATTTCAGAAAAATACTATGAGTTTATTTAGAATGACTTATAAACAACTTTTTCATCGTGATACATAAGACAAAATAAATATATAAGAAAAGACAAACGGCTTACGTGAAATATATTTTCAAGTGCTTATAAACGTTTCTAAAGAAAGCCTAAATGCTTGGAAGCGTCAAGACGTGATAGATTTTCGTTTTTCGCTGAAAGTGTCGTTCTGGAAGCATTCTAACATGATTTCAAACCCAATATAACATGATGATGACAACAGGAGGTGCATATCAAGCTTGCTTTCGGGATAGGCATTTTCTAGGCTGGACAACAGTATAGGGATTCTTTTGCGCAGTTCTTGGCCTACATTGGTTACAGTTGAATGCATGGAACAAAAGGCAAGCACAACAATATTATGAACAAATAAGAATTACACTAATTAATCCATGGGCTCCTATGTACATAATCACAGGACTTCAGAACTCCAACCAAATTGCACCATCTATAGGCTCCCTATATTCAAGGTAGTTCAATGCATTTACTCTGCATCCTCTCCAAACAAACAATGCTCCAACTGATTGGGAGGAGTGACCCTCTTCCTAACTAACATTTCAACTAAAGGACATTTTCTCTTTCGCCCTCCCTTGGCCTTGACTTGAATTGTTCATCAGATTCTTCAAAATCCCCGTACAGCAAGGCAACCATAAACTTTCTTTCAATATATACTCAATAACTTCAAAAATGCTTATGCAACAAGCATAATGATTAGTGAAAATTAGAATGATTAGGCATTGGTAACAACTTACATGTCTATAAACATGTATCCCAATTTTTTCATGCTTGTCCCTCACATGTTTGTAGGAAAATCTCATGCCACAATCAGGAAAGCTACACACAAATGGTCTTTCTTTGAAGTGTACAGCTTTTAAATGCTCATGAAGAGTGGATTTCTGTCCATGCAACCCAAAAGAAGGTAAATTAGAAGCATGGAAAGTTTTGAACTTAAGGAGGGGAACTAGATTTCTGTCAATGCAAACCAACAGAACGTCACCAATATTAGCTTCAAATAAACCTCTTCAGTTAAATGAAAATCATACAATCTTACGAGTAGAAATGACTTACACTAGTGAATGTGCTGCTATAGCCTTTATGTTCACATTTATATTCCTCTGATGAAGAGCTAGTTTTATGCAAACAGAGGTGCCGCTTGATATTTTTCTTCAGTTCCTTTTTCCCACAAGTCTCACAAGTTACAAATTGATGACGGGTTCTGATATGGGCTTTAAGGCACTGAACATTAGTAAAATGTTTCATACAACCAGGATCCAAGCAGACTACCTCTACTAGGTCTAGCTTAACTGCAAAATACAGATGGTCTTGTTCCCTTGGAATGCAAAGTCACGGTTGCAATCCTTGATCCGACATTTAAAGGTTTTCCCTTTATGCTGTAGAAGGTGACGGGTCAAGTGGTCCTTTCTTCTATAACTTGCTTGATAATCATCAATAGAACACACATATGGCCTCTGAATCATTAAAAAAATTTGTTAAATTTGGAACGTCAAACTAAGGTGTCATGTGAGATCTAATAAAAGCAACACAAGCAAACCAACTGCAAACCTCATTAAACAGTGTGACTGAGGCCCCCCTTGATGGAGCTTCTAAAGAGTTCTCCCTTCTTCATACTGATCCATCAAGTCAATAACATCTGCCTCTTGAATTTTGGAGTTCTCTGTTGGGGATCCAATGCTTCACGCAACAATATCCATAATTTTTGATAGTATAAATATCTTCCCTATAAAATACATATATTCCGTTTATGGTGACTAGTGATGAAACCTATATTGCTAACTTAAGAGCCACAAATCGGTGAGAAATCTATGTCCAAATCTCTTAAGTATTTCCATTAGGATTTTAAAGTGAAAGTAGCTAATGGAATTTGTCATGAGGGTGTGCAGTATTAGAGTAGTTAAACTGTTTGAGCATCTAGAAATAAAGAATGTACATGTATTGTTTGTTCCTGAGTTAAAATGTAATTTATTGTCTGTGAGTAAATTCACAAAAAGTCAAATGTGTAGACTGATGTTTTATGTTGGATGCAAATTTAAGGATTTGATATTGAAGAGGATGATTGGCAGAGCATGGAGAATATAGTAATCAGAAAGGCTTTACTTATTTCAGAACCAATTGTTTTATGAATTATCTTCACCCATACAAACAATCTTGAACAAAATTTTAGAATCACCAATACAAGGTGGTCCGAAGATGTATTGGTGGAAATAAAAAATTTAGAACATTAGAACAATAGATGTTAAGGGTAATAGATTGTCAACAAATACCTCGAGAGAATGGCGTAGCATGTGCGGCACCAAATAGGCTGGTTTTTTGAAACTAGCACCACATTCCTTGCAAGTATTGGATTTTGTGCCGTGGCTTCCTCATCTTTATCCACTCTGACTCTTTCCAACTCCTCCTAAGAGATAAGAGATCACGATATAGTCATGGTTTCAAAGTGCAGAGATCACCAGATGAAAAAAAAAAAAAACACATCTCCAGGAAATATAGCATATTGCCAAAAATGGCAAAATTATAGTAATCTCCATTAAACTAATACAAAAAACTAGCACAAAAACTAAGTTCCCAGAATTACATTCTCTTATGATTAAACCTTTCCAATATAACTAAGTAAAATATACTCATCAATCACTGTCATTCACAGTATAATCGTTTTAAATTCAAAAAGAGTAAATTTCCTAATTCCTTCAAAGGAATCATTCATCACGTCTACGACTTTAAAATTAACATTCTCATGGCACTAGAAAATCAAAACATGAGAAGAGAAGTACCTTGTGGCAAGAATTGATATGAGAGGTTATCAGGGTCTTTTTTGATCGACAGATGCCACAATACTCACAGGAATAGCGTCTAATATCTCTGAAAATAGGCCTCTCTCCAAATTCTCCTGGTTCATCTATCTTTATCTCAGCCATTTAACTTTATAAGGTCTCAATCCTATCAGGAAAGCAAGTTAAGAACAAAAAATTACCCAAGTAATCAAAAGTCACAGGAAGGATGAAACCAACAGGACATTATCAATCTCTCTTTCTAACTGTTATACATTCGTTCTTGTGGGGGACATTTCCCTCACTATCAGTACCGGGTGTAATGATGGACTCAAAAGTCTTGGAACATACGAAATCATGCATCAGAAGATGAAATCGCTGAGGATCTTGAACTTATAAACGATTTCAGCAACAACACATTATACCCCAAGTGTAAACATCCAACAAATTTAATTAATCCAGCTAATTGTATCGAGATTTTGCCCCAATTAAGCAAGCATGGAAATCATAAGCCCCAAGCAAAAGCCCAATGCCAAACCCATTACTCTAAAATCTAGGAAACATTAGGAAAGGCGACATGAAAAATTAATAAACAATAGAACCGAAAGTAATGGCTATGATTGGTTAACTTAAGAATCTGAGCTATCTAATTAGCAGAAGAGGGCGGAATATAGATAAGACGTGGAGGCAGAACAGATAAGAAGATGAGAACTTAGCATCTAGAACCCTACAAAAAGGTTGGAACGAATGGCCCAGGCCACATTGCAGTTTGGCAACGACGCGTATACCGAGCAATGAACCAGACCTCAAGGGTTGAAATCAAACCAACAAAATAGACAATAAAGAGAAAGGAAAATAAAATTAAAAAAAAAAAGAAAGAAAATTGAGAATAAATCCCTGGTTAAAAAATTAATTGGCAAATAGAACATAAAAACTTTTTACAACTCAACTTTCATTGTGTGCAACTTAATTTTTTGCGGGTGTAATTTATTTTTTCTTGTATGCAATAATCTTTCCTTGTACTATGCGTAGCTCAATTTCTTTTTGTGTAAATAAAATTTTCTTACGTGCAAGTCATCTTTTTTATGTGCAAACTAATTACTTATATCTAAATAATGTTTTGTGCAAACAATTTTTTTTTTTGTATAACTTACTTTTCTTTGCGTAAAACTAATTTTTTTTTATGCAATCAATCATTCTAGGGACTATTTTTTAATTAAATTTGTAATGAGAGATTTATCCCTAATTTTTCTTTAAAAAAAGTCAGTTTTGATTGACTAAAAAAAAGGTGGGAGTATTATGCATTGTTAGTCTATTTGGTTATTAATGATGTTGATATACACACATATATGTATATAAATAAATGAAGTTAAGTATATATCATTTTGTCTTATTTAAAAAAAGTTGGAAAAAAGTTGGGTCCTGATTCTCCTCATTTTCTCTTAGAATCCTATCTCTACCTATTAAATTTCAACCTTATATTCTTTGATCCAACAATAAAAATGAAATTTTAGGAAGAAAAGAAAAGGGAAGATTTTGAGGGGATCTCCTTCTGAAAAAGGTTTTATAGATTTTGGACATAAACTCTATCTAAGAGTTTAATGCGGATAGAGAGACTCTTACCTTGATCTGCATGGTAAAAAACTTAAGAAGAAAGAAAATAGAAATAGAAAAAATAGAGAGAAGAAAAAAAATATTATTTCTCATTCTCTTTACATGGATGAGATAAAACATGATAAAGAGAAAGTATTTTGGCGTTACATTAAAATACTATCTCCGGTCCTTAATATAAAATCTTTTTTAATTTTTATTTTGGTCTTAAATATAAGATCATAATCTATTTTTTCTCATATTTATTTTTTTTAAGATAGTCCTTTTAAGAATAGTAGTTTTAGCCAATAAACTTAATTAGTAAGAATATTTTAAGAAAGACAACACTTATTTATTACAAATAACTAACATAACTTATTTCTTTAATCTACTCAAATTAGTCAAATAGCTCTTATATTTAAGATCGGATGTAGTATATAGTTTAAAATCAAATTATATAATTTAAATATTTGTAGCATAATTAAGTGATAAAATTGAATAACAAATATTTAATATTATAGGTATTAAATATTTTAATATTGTAATACTACCTCCGGTCCTTGATATAAGAGTTGGTTTGACTTTTAATTTAGTCTTAAATATAAGACCCAAATCTACTTTGTCTGTCATATTTATTCTTCTTCTTTTTTTCAAAATTAAAGGTTTAATCAAATATTACAGCTAACATACCTTATTAGAAAAGATAACACCTATTTCTTACAAATAAATAATTTAATAAATTTTTATTTATTTAAATTAGTTAACTATTTTTATATTAAAATTGGAGATACTATTTCACATCTTGTAGACATTTTCTACACTGTTGTTGTTCAAAGCAAGATCCACTGAGTAAGTTTCCAAGTGGACAACTACGAGGTCTAATGACAAAATGAGAATGTTTGAGGTTTATGTGCCATTGACCGGTTGGTTTATTTTTAGTTTATTTTGTGTTTTATTTATTCAATTAGGTATTTTCATATTTGAAGGATTTTCAATTAAGCAGGTGTTTGGATAGATACAAAACCATAATTTTAAAAGTATTTTTACATATATGAATTAAATATATGGAGAATTTGCTTTATTAGCAACAAAGTGATTTCAAAAGCACTTTTAGAGTTAGGCAAACACCCCCTAAATCATTTGGAATTTCGGATTATTTATTAAGTGTGTTCTAAACTCCATTGAATATACTCTTTCGATCCTTAATATAGACCCAATTGTTGAGTTGTTTTGGTCCTAAATATAAGACCCATTTATTATATTTATCAAGTTTATCTAAATTACCCCAATGAATACTCCCTCAACCATAATCAAGTAGAAGATGGAGAGAGGGTATTAAGAAAGATAATTATGGCGTTTTAGGAAAAACATGTCACATTTCTTATAATTAACTAACTTACCTAACTTTTTAATATAATCAAATTAGTTAAATGGGTCTTATATTAAAAACCGGAGGAGTATAATTTTAGATATATCAGTTGCTAAATTAAGATCTCAATTATATTATATAATTGTAATGAACCCAAAATTTGAGAATTATTAAGAATAACAATAACAATTATGTGATCAAGTAAATTTTAAAGTAGTAACCTCATCTTGAAATGAAAAAAACAAAAAGCTCATTAAAAGAGAAAGAAAACAGATAGTAATTGTAATAACTTTTGTAATTTAATAGTTATAAGTTAATCAGCTTTTTTTTATTACGAATTAAATTGTAAAATTGCCTTTTAAAAAAATCTGAAGATTTAAGATTAGATTTTATTTTCTGCCAAAAAAATCAGAGTTTATTTTCCTTCCCTTCCCAATCAGTTCATTGCCTTTTTTTTTTTTGGGGGGGGGGTGTTTTTGAAGAAGAGCTTCTGGTGCGTGAACTTGCGATTCCATCGCTCCCCCCACTGTCCTCCCCTGTCCGCGCGTTCGTCGGCTGCGTATGCGCCGTGGGTTCGCCGGTAATGCTAATCTCCGCATTTCTTCCTTCAAGCTTTGCCATTCTGTCTTCTTCTTTGCTCTGATCGGTGCCTTGGTAGCTTGAAAAGGATTGAGCTTCATTCCCTTTTCTTCTTCCTTCTTAACCGTGGCTAGTAAGGATTTAAGTAAGCTCGAGTCCGATATCTTTTTCCAAAGCTTGGGTAGCGGTGCATTTGAGAGGATTTTTCATTGTTCTTCTCCCCTGTTTTCGTCGTTGCTGTTGTGGGGAGTGGATTGGAGATAACTTGCTTCATTTCTATTTAATCGGGGTGTGTGATGTTGTATTGGACTTATTAATTCTTTCTTTTATTTTTCAAGTTTGGCGTTGCCCGGGGGGTGTTGCATGGAACTTTGATAAGTTTTGGTTTGATGGGTTTGACGAGTTCCTTTGAATGTGGAGACTGATATGTGTGTGTATTAACAATAATTTATGGCTGCTAACTTGTGGCTTAAGATGGCTGGTTGTTGAACTAAGTTGAATGCCTATAAGGTGTTTGACGAATTGTGTGAAAGAAGAAAGAGACTTGGAGATCTTGTTTGGCTTAGACTTGAGAGAATGAAGTGTATCTGGATATGTATTGTATTAAAAATTTTGATGATTGCGGAAGGAGAACTATGGAATCCAATTATGTGCTCTGTAAATAATGCTGAGAAGTTAACTAAGGAATTTGAAGTTGCTTGGCTAACAATATAACGCCATAATGAAGGTGTTGTAACTAATCTTGGAAGCTATTTGGGTGCTTAAGAGTTATATGGTTGTTGATTGGTAAAGTTTAGTGTTTATTGTATGAGTTAAGCTAAGATATGCTTGGAATGTTTGTGCAATCTTGTAGAAGAATTTAATTAAATTAAGATTGTTGGCTATTTATAAATTGGTTTGTGGAATTCAATTCCTCCGCTTGCTGGAAATTAGCACATTTAAACTGGCTACAACTTAATTTTAGGGGGAAAAAAACCTTACTGTTTAGGATATCCAAGTTCTACCTTGGCTAACGAAGATTTGGTTTTGATTTTTTCCCCCCTTAATGAGTTGTTTTCCTTTTTACATTTTCGTGGTGTTAGCATATAAGTGAGAACTCTTGAATTTAGAATTATTAGAACAAATTCTGTTGTTGAATGCATAGGCTTTATTTCAAACTGGAGATAACGAACAAATTTCTCACACTCGCGGGAAGTAGAAGTTGGTCAGTTTGATCCGTGGCCATGGAGGGTAAAATCAGGTGTTTGGCCAACGACATTGATAAACCCATAATTTATTATGCTAACATGTGAGATTGCGGTTTTTTTTTTATGGGTTAAATTGTATTAATGTTGAATATTTTGGGACTACATGATATTAAAATATTTTATGTGATTTTGTCTGCAGGTTTAAAGAGAAAAATTCCTAAATTCCAGTAATGATCTGAAGGGACTGGTCATATAACAGCCAAGGACCAGAGATTAATAGAAGTGGCAAAAAGGACCTCGTGATACGATGCGTTTTGAGAGAGATTCAGATTTGGGGATCATCTTCTTTGACATCTTCAATTCATTCCACCCCTGAATACTGTCATAGTTGTTGAATGAGATTGATGCCACTGCAGGAGGAACAACGCTGCGGAATGCAGATACTGCTGTAACATGAAAGTCCGTTTCTTTAGTAGGCCTGGGCTTGTTCCTGCCAATCCTGTCTTTTCCATTTAACAACAAAGGGTGGGTCCTCTTGCATGGTGATTGTATTGACACAGAATGAGCAGAAACTGCCAGGAAATTGAGCGAAAAGTTCTTCGTCTTCTTCATGGTCGCAATACTCGCACCCAAATCACCCAAATTCATGCCTATTTCCTTCGCCATGCCCTCCATCATTCCAACCAGATCCTTGCTCACTTCGTCTCCATTTGCGCTGCTCTACATCGAATGTCTTACGCCACTCGTGTCTTTTACCAAACCCGTAATCCCAATATTCTCCTCTTCAATTCCATGATCAAAGGCTTTTCTTTATGTGCCCCTTCCAGCAATCTGTCCACTTTTTCTCCATTATGAAAACCCGTGGTATTTTGTCTGATGAGTATACTTTTGCGCCTTTGCTTAAGTCCACTTCAAACCTCGGGGACTACATACTTGGCCAGTGTGTTCACGCCCAGGTTATTCGAGCTGGATTTGAAAGCCATGGTTCCATTCGCATTGGGTTGGTGGAATTGTATACAACTTGTGAGAGAATTGGAGATGCCGAGAAGGTGTTTGATCCAATGTTTGATACAGATGTAATTGTTTGTAATTTGATGATTCGTGGGTTTTGTAGGACTGGCTCTTTGGAAACAGGTTTTAAGCTTTTCAGATATATGAAGGAACGCAGTATTGTTTCTTGGAATATCATGATTTCTTGCCTAGCACAATATAAGAAGGACCGAGAAGCCCTTGAACTTTTTCATGAAATGTTGGAACAGGGCTGTGAACCAGATGATGCAACTGTGGTCACTATTCTGCCTGTTTGCGCTCACCTAGGAGCCTTAGATTCTGGGAAATGGATCCATTCTTATGCCTGTTCCAGAGGGTTTCAACGAGATGTCATTGCTGTGGGAAATTCACTTGTGGATTTCTATTGCAAGTCTGGAAATCTTGAAGTTGCTTGGAGCATTTTTAATGAAATGCCTCACAAAAATGTTATTTCTTGGAACGCCATGTTATCTGGGTTGGCTTATAATGGGAAGGGTGAAGTGGGGGTTGACTTGTTCCAGGAGATGATAGAGAAGGGCGTTAGCCCGTCTGACTCGACTTTTACCAGTGTTTTAGCTTGTTGTGCTCATGCAGGCTTAGCAGATAGAGGGCTTGAACTCTTTGCTTGGGTGACTGCAAAATTTGAACTTCAGCCAAAACTGGAGCATTATGGCTGCGTTGTAGATCTTCTTGGACGTTGTGGACAGGTATGGGAAGCTCATGATTTGATCAGAAGCATGCCCATGAAGCCTACAGCTGCCTTGTGGGGCGCATTGCTTAGTGCTTGCCGCACTTATGGTAAAAGGAAACTCGCAGAAATTGCAGTAAAAGAGCTTATCAATCTGGAACCATTGAATTCTGGCAATTATGTGTTATTGTCAAATATTTATGCAGAAGAAGGAAAATGGGATGAGGTTGAAAAGGTTAGATTACTGATGCGGCAAAACAGCATCATGAAAAGTCCTGGACAGAGTGCAACTGGTTAGTTGCAAGTTTGAGTTAGTTGAGGAATGGCTTTGTTTCTTGGTCTTCACTAACTACATGAATTATCGATTTTCATGCTCAAAGATCGTGCTAGGGAAACGGAAGAGGTTGCATGAACACTGTCTCTCATTGTCTTTACTATTAGCCTCATGTGCAATAAACCAGAAAAGTGCATTCAACTTCACAATTTCCCAATAACAATGTTTGATGAGCCAAAGATGGAGACGTGCTGCTTTGAAAGAGGTTGAATGAACCCTATCTCTCATCGCTTGCTAAGAAACTTTGAGGATGCTAAGGACACTTTCATGTTCGTATGGGACTAATCTCTAAGGCAGACCAGAAGGGCATGGCAGTTAAGAAAGAAACTACCAATGTCAGGTTGAAAATGGATGTAATTATTGTGGTCGATGAGGATTCTATATTTTAAGGGGTCTGAGACGGCTCTGCATGCTTATCATTCTTAGCTATAATTACAGGTTAATCTGCATCATTAACTTATTCGTATTACATCTCCTTGAACAGAAGATCGGTAGGTAATTTCTTCTGTATCGGGCTGATTATTTGTGATTCATATTACATCATACATGTAATACATTTACCAAATTTCTATTTTCCTTGCGGTTGATTCGTTGTAGAATTTGCCCAGTAGTTCAGAAATGCACTTGCATAATGTAGATTTGTGTATGGAAGGTTTTTCTTCAGATTTTATTTTGTGAAGTACATTAGTACGAAAGCAATTAAGGTTACAAGGAACCTAATAACCTATCAATCTGGCCGCAAAGAGGTCATGCAATTTTCTGTTTCTTAATGCTGGTCATTGTGTCACATTGAATTAAATTAACTGCTACTTCCACCAGGACGAAGGCATAGAATTTAATCCAAATTGGTAACTTGGAGGCAGTGCTTATTTCTCCACCAACGTGATCTCCCAAACTGAAGTTCCCTACACAAACGCATTAATATTCCCCGAGGGGTTTAATGTATATGGTTGTCACATCCCACATGCATCTGCGAATTATTCATGGCTAACCCAAGAAGAAAGCAGGATAAGAATATACTCATCTGGCTTTAAATATAAGATTTATTTTATAGTGTAATTGTACTACAAAATAGGTTATTTAAGATTGGAGAAGCATTAGAGAAGAAACATTATTGATGGATGGGAAAAAAAAAAGACCAATCAAGCCTTCAAGAGAACAGTGAAGTACGCAAATATCACATGAAAACTCAGATTAAAAAATGGATGGCATATAAAGGATGGCACAAGTGATAGAATATAATGATAACTCGAGTAGAAACATAAAATTACTATGGAGATTAAGGAAGCTATGAATAAACTCTTCTTTAGTAGGAACAAGTCTCCCTGATTGTGAAGGGTGGGAACAGAAAGATGCACAGGAACAATATGAAAAAACAACTCTAACCCACTGAGTAAGTTTCTAAGTGGACAACTACGGGGTCTAATGACTAAATGAGATAAGGTTTTATGTGTCATTGACCAATTGATTTATTTTTAGTTTATTTTGTGTTTTATTTATTTAATTAGGTATTTTCGTATTAGAATGTTAATGCCAAAAAAGAGTTTATGCTTTTATGATTTACTTATATGTTAGCACTTAATTGTATGTTAAAAATTAGTTATTGCTAGTTTAATTTTAATTTCGATCTTAAATATAAGATCCAAATTCTTTTTATCTTTCATATTTATTTATTTTTTTTTTCTAAGGTAGTTCTTGCAGTAATGATAGTTCTAGCTGATACACTTGATTAATAAGGATATTTTAGAAAACACAGCACTTATTTATTACAAATAACTAATTTAACTAATTTTTTAAAATTAGTCAACAAATTCTTATACAAAAGACCCGAGATAATAGCTTATATGCATATTATTAGCACTTTTTTATTTTTGATAACAGGGAGGCCCAAGGCCTAAACTGAAAAAATTAAAAACAAAAGAAGACCCAAAAACTCCTTAACCCATGTCCCAAAAGTTCCTTCTTTCCTCATCCTCACCCAAGACATTCGCAACTTCCAACGGGATCTGAAGGCACGGCCGACACTCCTTGTTCATAGCTGTCCAGAAGCTTAGTTTCGTCATGACATCAGCACACTGATCACCAGATCTGCGTACTAGGGATACTCATTGTCTACAAGGAGCTACAGCTTCTCTTACCATTCTTACACAGTCAGCAGGCTTCTCCCCTACAACCTCCTTTCCTTTTGGAGCAACAAAAAGCTCCTCAGAATCAGTTTCCTCTGCTCGATCCATCAGAACTCACCTTGATCCAACCTTCAGCTGGAACTACTCAAACCATTCTCACTTCTTCCTCTCTTACCTCACCGGGGTTCCTCTGGAAGGATTTAGCTTTAACTATGTCCGTTGCAAAGCTCCAGATTTGCCAACCTTCCAGATCCTTTCTTTGATGTTCGAAGATCTGCAAATTACGCTGCTTCCAGATTCTCTAGCAAGCTCCACCAAACACAAACATTCCACGGTAAGCTATTTATTAATTTTCCATCTCTCAAATTCTTCTGTAACCATTCTCTTCAATTCTGTATAAAGAAATCTGCTTGAGGTCGCCGTAATAGGCTTGCATTTTAGATCATTAATTTGTCTCTTGCCTTATACTTTCGTAATGATCGATTCTTCCACCTTTAAATTTTAAAACTGAAACCCTTTTTTTTTTTTCTTTTGTCATTTGCTCCGCAGATTCTGTGTCCTTATCCTCCTGTGGAAAGATTGTTCATTTTCTCTTCATTATTTTGTTCCTCGTCAAATTAAAAAAACAAGGAGGTTTCTTTGTTAAACAACATTGAAATCTCTACTAAAAGGTGAGGATTTATTTTGATTTGAAGTTTTTTTACCATGTTATAATTTTATAGTTTTGTCTTTTGTTATATGATGGGTTTGCACTTTTAATTTAGCTAGTTCTAATCATTATCTTGCAATAATCATAATATTGACCTTTATATACAGAAACAGTTTTTGGGTCAAAACTAAATATGACGCTCTAAATTTTGGGCATTAAGAAGAGATTTTATGTGCAAATATCTAATTATCTTGATCTAATTAAGTTTTATCCCAATTGATTATATCCAAATATTTTCACAAAATTTAACATGAGAAATGTTAAAAGCTCATGACTATTCTTAAGATCCACAAATTCTTAACCTTTAAATCAATGTAGTGATGATGCCAAATGTTGTATATGTCATCTTGTATATACAATATATATATATATATATATATATATATATAGTTGTCATTTAATTTTTTATTAATTTTCCTTTTGCTTATACTAATTTTGTGTGTTTACATCTGGCAGAGTTTGTGTGCTTTACTTCTGCTGTGAAGAATCTTTTCATTTTTTTTGTTTATCACTTAGGATTGCTCCACATTTAAAAAACAAAAAAAAAAAAGAAAAGAAAAAGAAAAGGAGGTCTTTGTCCAGCAACATTGAAGTCTCACCAAAAAAAAAACGGTAAGAATATATTAGATCATGCATGTTTCATTTTATTTTAATGCTTATATATCATTGCCCTTTGCTATATAACTAGATTGGACTGCTAGAAAATTATTTAAAATTTTATAATTTTATATTTTGAAGGTTATTATTTTGCAAAATATGAGATGTAAGATTTAATTTGGAGGTTGAACTTGATGCTTGGAAAAAGAACTTTGTGATTTTGCTCCAAAGTCCAAATCAAGCATTAAATATTTTCATTATATTATATCTTTAATTAACAATTATTAATTTTTAATGACTTGTATCATTTTTAAATATGTTGGCAAAAAAACTTATTTAAATATGTGCAATTTGGCATAATAAATAATGGAACATTTCGTGAGGAAATATGACAAATGTAATTAATGCATATTACATTTGAATCCATAAAATTATGGAGAGTACTCGGGTTACATTAATTTTAGACTAGCCAATTAATTCATATGATTATATATAATTTTACTTATCATTATTAACATTAAAATTTTTGTTTGTGTGTGTTTTTTTCCTTCTTAGCAGATTCTGTGCTGTTCTGGATTTCTGGTGAGATACATCTTTACTTCATCATTTTGTTATTCAAATTTGTGTTATTGTCTTCTTGTTTCATTGTTTACTCTTGGAAAAATTAGGAACAAGGACCTATAAAATATAATATTTAATAATAAGGATTTTAAAAACTATAATTATTTATAAGGATCAAACACTAAAATATAAATGTAAAACTACTAAATTACCTTTAACCAAATCTCTATATTTTCTCTTATTCCATTGATTTTTCATAATCTCCTAATTTTTACCAAAACCCATTATAATCTTTTTCTCATAATTATTTGCAACGAAATTTATTGAAATCAAATGAAAATTATTTATTATTAACCCAAAATATCTTATATAACTAAATATATATTTTATGCAAATAAATCAGGCAAAACCGCAAAATAATTATCAAAGCATCCAAGCATCATACTTTAAACATCAATTTATATTATTGTACATTAAAATATGTTTATTTAAATTTATATATATTTATAAAATGTATACACACACACAGTAAAACAATTTATACTACAAAAGGTAAAGAATGAGATATTTGAAAAAAGTAAATTTCAATTGAAACCTGATGAAAGATGAAAAAAATTAACTATTGGTAGCATGGTTTATTACATGAATAATTTCATTTCATTCCGTGTTTAGGTATATAAAATATATTTTGGATTACAAATAAATAATTTTGATTTGATTTCAGTAATTTTTTTCTAAATAATCATGATAAAAAGATTTTACAGAATTTTAGTAAAAATTAAGAAGTTGTGAAGAAAAAAAATTCAATGGAGGTGTAATAAGTGAAAATGTAGAAATTTAGTTAAGGGTAATTTAGCATCTCTATATTTATATTTTAGTGTTTGGTCTTTATAAATAATTATAGTTTTTAAGATCCTTCCCAATAAATATTGTTTTTTTCTGGTCCTTCTTCCTAATTATCCCTTTATTCTTTATCAATTTTTTTAAATAAAAAAATAATAAGAATATATCTTTATCTTGTTTCATTTTATGTTATGTACGTGCATATATTTTAATCCATAAAAATGTTTTTGTGATTCTTAATATTGTCAAAAATTAAAATTGAAGAATATTTTGTAAGAGATGAGATGTGCGTCGGCCAAAAAAAAAAGGAAATGAGAAATGCAGAGTGTATATGTATATTGTGATCCCAAAAATAGAATAAATAGAAAAATTTTCTATTACAAATGCGTATTATCATCATTATAAATGATGAGCTGGAATTTAAATCATTAATTTGTCTCTTGCCCTCTATGTGGTTGTGTACATTTGCAATGATTATGATATCTCACCAAAACTAAGGTGGTGTTTAGATGAAGTCAAACTATGGTTTGGAGAATAGCTTTTGGAGAATAGTTTCTGGAGAATAGATTCTGGAAAGAATAGATTTTGAAAGAATAGATTTTCTGAAAAAGTGATTCTGATAAAATGAGAGTGTTTGGATAGTTGTTATTAGAAATGTTTTTTTATATGTAGAAATTATTACAAAGGACATAAGTTTAAATGATAATTACATATAAGATATATTTCATAATATATCTTTATTTGAAGTAAATAAATAATATTAATAAAATATACCTTACGTATATATATTAATAAAATAAATAAATATGTTTTTTTGTAAAATAATTTAATAAAGTAATTAAATATATATTAATAAATAATATATAGTAATAAAATAATTAAAATTAATACGTATATATATTAATAAAATAACTAAATATGTTTTTTGTAAAATAATTTGTCACCGGTGGCGACAAATTTCAGAATGGGAGGAGGTGAAAGCACTACAAATAATGGCAGAATGGGAGAAGAGAGAATTTTGTTTTCCACCGTTAAAGCTTCTCTGACTAGAGCAATTATTATTTCAACAAACATATTTCTCCATATACGAAAACCATGGTTTTCCAAAAAAAAAAAAGGGTGTTTGGCAAATTTTTTTCCAAACCATGGTTTGGAAAAAAACCCAAACACCCCCTTAAACAACAAACTAAACTTTTTGATCTTTTATTTGGCAGATTCTGTAATGCTAATTAAGATCTTATTTGATTTTTATTTTGGTCTTAAATATAAAATCTCAATTAACTTTGTCTCTTATATTTCTCCATTTTTTCTTCAAGATAGTTTTTCTAATAATAGTAGTTCTAATTAATAAACTTCATTACTAAGAATATTTTAAGAAAGACAACACTTATTTATTACAAATAATTAACTTAACTTATTTTCTTAATATACTCAAATTAGTCTATTAGCTCTTATATTTAGAACCGGAGGTAGTATTGTCTTTCTGCATGAAAATATTTCAGTTTCTCTTCATTAACTTTGTTCTTCAAATTAAAAAACAGGAGGTTTCTTTGTTGAAAAACATTGAAATTTGAAATCCCTGAAAAAAAAGGTGAGAATTTATTATGATTGTGATTTTGTCATCATGTTACGTTTATATGGTTGTCTTTTGTATATTAGGGTTGGACTTACGCTTTTTAATTTTAATTAATATTTGCAATATCTTTACGATTAGAAGTAAATATGATGTTCTAATTAAATGTTATGTATTAAAAAGACCTTGTTCTTTTTGCACAAGAAAAAAAAGACTTTGTTTTTACTCGTACTGATTATCATCAAATTTTCTCAAATATTTTTTAGTCCTCTCTGTGTATTAGTTCTACAATCATTATTTTATATTATAGAAATTAAAGGATTATATAGTTTTATGAGGATGAAATATGATCAACATATAAATTATACAATGAGAATAATATTAAATAAAAGTATAAAACCCTTACTTTGTGTGATTCTGTATACCTTTTTCCGTTATTATGTCAGAATTATTTATATTTTTAAATATACAAGAAAAATGAAGAATCACAACCAAATAGAGAAAGGGAAAATAATTTCCACAGAAACGTAATTGAAAAAAATAAATGAAGATTGACCGGATCTAAATATATTTACTAAATTAATTAATTTTGTGATGCCAAATGAATATTATATATTTGGCCCAAAAAAAAAATGAATATTATATGTAGTTTGTGTCAATTGTTCTTGTCACTAAATCTTGTCTTTGTATTTGACAGATTTACTGTTCTTCTGCTCTGAAGGATCTTCTAATTTTTCTCTTCATCACTTTGTTTTGCTCCAAATTTCAAAAAGTAAAAAAAAAAAAAAAAGAAGCAAAAAGTGAAAGAAAAAAGGAGGTCTCTTTGTCCAGCAACATTGGAATCTCTTTCAAAAAAAGGTAAATTGATCATGTTTCTTTTCACGTTATTCTTATATGCGTATCAGTGTGTATATTTGTCTTTTGCTATATAATTGGTCTGGAGTATTAGAAGATTATTTGAAATTTTAATGTATAATATTTTTTAAGGGAAATTATTCTCATCTAGGGATGAAAATAATTTAGGCTAAACTTTAGATAAATAGGTTTGGGCCTGCAATAGATATTTAAACATGGGTCTGGGCCTGCATATAGGCTTTTTTAAGGCCTGAGCATCAGCCTTTAAAGGGTTGACAAGGTCTGAAACCTGTTTAAAGGCCTACTTAAAATGCAAGCTTTTAAATAGGCTTAAAAATCTATACTTCTAAAATCATATAAAATCTTTTCAAACCTGTTTAAAAACCTATGTTATGTGTTAAAAGTTTAGTTAGAATACATTCTCACCTGCAATATAAGAGTTTAGCAAGAAAAAGAGAAGAATGCATGGTGACAACATTGTTAGATCAAGTAGGAACAAGAAAAATGAATTATTTATTGACTAAATAGATATATTTTCTAAAATCAACTAAGCACATCAAATGACATGTAAAACTGAATTTTACCTGTTTTGGTTTTACTGCATAAATTGTGACACATTCTTTCTCCTGAGATTATAATATTTCATTTGGGAATCACTAAAATAAACTTACAATAATTATTATGCTTTAATAAACAACATAAACCAGGAAGAGGAAGTGAGTTAACATTGTCACCTTGAGCAATTGAAAAGAAGGTAGAGGTAAATGACTGATGACAGAAAGAAAGCTGATCATATGTAGGAATACTGTGATGTGAAACTTAAGGTCAAATCAAAGTTTTTAAGTTTATAAATAATTTATAAGATTGATTTATATTATATTTCATATAATAATGCAAATTGTTTTTTTTAAAAAAAAACTAAACAGGTCAGCCTGTAGGCTTGTGGGTTAGTTCATATGGAAATAGACTGACCTGTTTGCCTAGATAGACCATAAAGTAGGCTTGAATATGAGCCCTATCTATTTACAAAATAGGCTAAGTTAGACTTTATGTAGGCTAGGCTATAAGCCCCTGATAGGGGGTCTAACCTATTTCACCCCTAATGACATAGTCAAGAGCTAGGATTTGTCGATTTTGCGGTAGGAATAGCATGAGGTATGATTTTTAAGTAAGAGCAGAGAAATACTTTCAAGAATTAACGTTAAACAACCAAAGTTTAAGGCTTAAATTTGAGGAGCTAAGAGTTGGGCAAAGGGTTGAACTTAATTATGCAATGAAAGTGCATAAAAATTATATGTATTAATATGACTATATGCTTACAATTGTTAAGCTTTGATTTATGCCCAAGTCCCACAAGAAACCAAGAGCAAAAGGAGCAAGCAAGAAGTGTAAGTTTGGAGAAAAATTTAAAGGTGGCTAAATCTTTTATTCTCATGTTAATTATGTATTGGTTTTTGCGTATTTGTTTGTACCACATTTATTGTAATTAAGTAATAGAACATGCAAATTCCTTGCTTGAGTTCATTGCCCTTGCCATGTTCACTATCTAGCTAGTTATAAAGTGGTAAGGTGTTGTTATGTGTTATAGTTTTTATTACATGCTTATTTATGACTTTGTAAGAAGTTTTTGACCACAATATAAGAACTTTTTGCCTTAATTATTTTCTTGACCACAAGTTTTTGCCTTAATTATCTTCTTTACCACATAGAATAATTTTTTATGCTAAATATTAACGTTTAACTATTTTTTCTTATCTGTTTTGGAAAAATAGGCCCTTGATTACAACAAAATAGCTTTTAACTTATTTGCTTCCCTTTTTGAGAAATATTTATTTTCAAAAAATATCTAAATTCCCAAAATAATGATTTATATTTTTTTCTGAGCCTTTACATAATTTTAATAATCATGTACTCATTAATCTCCTTAAAATTTCACCTGCTTTTGGCCCAATAAGTTTTTGAGGCATTTTCAGTTTAAATAATTTTTCTAAGCTTAAAAAACACCGTAGAAATCTGTTTTTTTTTTTTCAGGATTTTCTGAAATTTTTTCTCTAATTTTTGGACTTTGTTTTTTTTTTCATAATTACACTTTTTTTTTTTCACTTTTGCCCTTAAGGAGCTTTTCTCTAATTCCTTAAAATTTATATACACTTTTGCCCTCAAACTTCTCATTATTTCATCTTTTGGCCCAAAAAGTTTTCCTCTTATTTTGGCTTACTTGGTATCCAAAACTTCTTGCTTACATTTTATTAGACATACATATCATATTATTTTTCATTTTACTTGTTTAATCAGTATTTTAAAAAAAATTTTTGCCATCAGTATTTAAAATACTGAATGTTACAATATGCATGCTCTTAATTGAAAACATATTCAATCAAGTTAAACTGGTTAATTTCAGTTGTGTTGAGGAGTTAGAAAAGGTTTTTATGAAACTTTTAAGGTAGATCCAATGTCAGGCTTGTTGGATTTGAAGCAAAACTTGCACGAGTGAATAACGGGGGAATTTCAAAACTATATAATGTGGACAAAACTAATTTACCTATATATAATACGCCTACACGGAATCTGTTAGAAGTTGTTTCCGCGGAGTCTTGCATAAATCAAACATAGCTTCTTTTCACTTCAGATCCTTCATTTTCTTTTTGAAAATTCTGTTACGAACATAAGTCAAAAGGAAGAATCCATCTCAAAGGACTAAGTTATTAGGTGTGAGGGGCTATGGAACTTATAAACTACATTTCAAGTTTCCAAATGTGGGATGCATTATGGCTTTTTCCAAAAGACTATCCTACCAGGCAGGAAAGACCCTTTAACTCAAACTATATTTCACTTTATGAATCTCTCAAATGTGAGACTCATGTAACAATGTACCTTGTTCGAGAGCTGATGTCCCTCGCAATTCCACACCATAATAGCTCACTTAGCTTCCTGCGAGTCAAAATCCTCCATCGATAGCCCCGCCTCTTCGCAAGCATCAGACTCTAAATTAATGAATCAGTGTTGTTAGTGCACTAAATTAAAGGAAAAGCCCATTCCAAAACACTGGTCTATTGCGTGGGAAAGACCCTTAAACTTATATACCACACTGGACTTGTGAAGCCCACAAATTAGGTGATAGCTTATGATAAGATATATACTTTCTGATTGGGTGTTGATTATATGATCTCATGACTTTCATCAACAATATTGCTCGACTACTAAGAATTTGGAGTAGGTATATCATATTGATCATCGATTCTATTCAGGACTTGTATATGAAGGATTCTTCATGATTGAGGTTGATTCTAGCTATTGCAACATCTATGAGAAATCCTTCTTTTTTCTAGGAAAGACCATTAGATCCTAGACACGAGCTTAGTTTTCTCTAGTGACTTATTCCGTTTTGTTTCATGTCTTTTCGTTTCATTTTCTTGTGGATCCTTGTCAAGTTCAGGTCAAGTTTTAGTGGTTTTAATTCATGAAGAGAGAAGTTCTCAAGTGCATTAGTGACAAGGAAAGGAATATTGCCTTGTTTACTTATTTCTATGTTATTATTATTCTCCATGCTCTCCCCATAAATTGATACTTTAGGTCCCATGACTGGTTCTCAAAGAAAGTCACATTCACGATCGAATTCTGATATATATATAAATGACTTGTAGCATCATTTAATAATTAGTCTTCTTACCTCTTATTTGTATGCTTGTTAAGATCATAGATTATTATATTATAGTCATGACTTTAAGATTTAATCATTATTCATAAATAAAACCGTAGACTAGAAGATATTGATAGTAACCTTATATATATCCTTGTTAGATGGAGGGCATCGGTGCGGAAATTGCAAAGAATGAGGTCCAAAGTTTAGTAAATTTTGTCAAAGGCGAAGTTCGATATTTATGTTGTTTTCACAATTATGCTGCAACATTTGATAAGAAAAAGGAAGAACTAAAAGCAAAGCTCCTAGATGTAAATAGAATTATAGAAAAAGCCAGAGGTGTTTCTAGGGTTACAGATGAAGCACTACAATGGACACGGGAAGCTGGAAGTCTCATTGAGTGTGACACTAGAAAAGAGAAATGCTTTAATGATAAGTGTCTTAATTGCTGGCAACAATATCGGAAAGGCAAAGACATGGAGGAGAAGACACAACAGATTGACAGACTTTTGAAAAGATGTAACTTTAACATAGTGGCAGGGGCAGCTGATTTTCCTAGCATAAAATACCAATCTTCACAGGATTTCATGCATTTTGAGAGCAGAAAGTCACAGTTTCAAGATCTAAAAAAGGCACTAGAAGATGAAAATTGCAATATGATCGGATTGCATGGCACTGGGGGAACAGGCAAAACCTCAATGGCATTACAAGTGGCTGCTGAACTCGGAGGATCCAAATTTGACAAAGTCATCTTTCTTGTTGTCTCTCAGCTTCTAGATTTCAAAAAGATTCAACATGATTTGGCAAAAGATCTTGATTTGGAATTAAAGGAAGGAAAGGAAGAAGAACATGCAAAGAAAATATGGTCCAAAATCACTAATATGAAAGAGAGGCTTCTTATAATCCTAGATGATGTATGGGAAGAGCTTGATCTTATACAAAAGTTGGGAATCCCATCTAGTCACCAACACATGGATTGCAGTGTATTAATAACCACACGTAATCCACATGTTTGTTCATTAATGAAGTGCCAAAAATTGATTCAAGTTCAGATATTGACTGACAAAGATGCATTGGATCTTTTCCTAGCACAGGCTAGCATTAATGGTTCCTCTAGTGGTTTGAGGGTTGTGGCAGAAAAAATTGTGGAGAAATGTGGAGGAGTACCAGTTGCAATTGTAGCAATAGCAAGAGCATTAAAAAATCGGCCTTTATTTGCTTGGACAGATGCTTTGAAAGCTTTGGAATCCAATGATATTAAGCAAGGTTTGACAGAGGCTTATAAATGCCTGAAATTGAGCTATGATTACTTGAAAAATGAAAAAGCCAAAGAAATATTTGTCATATCTTCTTTGTTCCCAGAAGATTTTCAAATTTCTATACAAATTTTAAGCAAATTTGCTATAGGATTGGGCCTTTTTGGAGAGGTGGACAGGTACCATTCAGTAAGAAGCAAAGTGGGTGAAGCCATACTAGAAGTGATCGATTCTTCTTTATTGTTGACTGACAATGAAGAATGCATGAAGATGCATGATTTGGTTCGTGAAGTAGCTTTATGGATAAGAGAGAAAGATACTCAATGGATCATGGATCTTAAAAAGCCTATAAAACAGAACTTGCGGTATTTGGTTTGGAAGAATGATGGTTTTCCTGGTAAATTCGATGGAAAGAACCTAGAAATTTTAATGATATTTCTAGGTGGTTCAAAGAATTTGGAAGTACCTGATACATTTTTTATAGAGATGATGAGGCTGAAAGTTCTGTATTTAGCAAGTGATGAACAAATTTCAGTTCCAACACTAATATATTCATTTCGATCATTAAAGGATGTTCGGACTCTCAACCTATTGAATTTGAAATTAGGCGACATCTCCTTGCTAGGAAACTTACATAGGCTTGAGAGTCTTTGGTTATTTGATTGTTCAATCATTGAGCTACCAAAAGAAATTTTAAACCTAAACAAGTTGAGGTTGTTGGAGGTAGATAAATGTGAAATTGAAAAGAACAATCCTTTTGAAGTGATTGGAAAATGCTCCCAATTGGAAGAATTGAGCTTTGTAGGAAATCAGTTTGACATAAAAGAAGCATGTGTTGTTTTTGAAAATTTATCTCCTTCTACGTTACATAGATATAAAATATCTTGGTGGAATCTTGAAAGGATTCGGGGAATAGAAAAGTATGGTTTCATATCAAGATGGTTTTACCCATGTGATTGGCGGAATCTAATTTCAGAGGCAACATTCAAGCAATTTGTACGAACTGCCGAGCTTCTTATATTAGGAGGGTATAAAGAAACAAGATGGAAGAATCTTGTCCCAGATATTGTTCCAGTGGAAGAAGGAGGCATGAATGATTTAATTGTTCTTCGTTTGTATTCTTGGCCTGACATGCAGTGCCTCATTGACAGTAAGAATCATGAAACTAATGTGACTACTTTCTCCAAGTTAGTTGAACTAAATCTCAAAGAGATGGATGTTGAAGATTTATATCGAGGTTCTTTGCCGTCTGGCTTTCTAGAGCAATTAGAGACTATGAGGTTGACGAAGTGCCAAAAATTGAGAAATATATCATTTGATGGCAAGTTGAGCCTGTGTCATCTTAAGGTCATGGAATTGAATGCTTGTCCAAAATTGACATCAATTTTTCAATCATTCACCGCTCAGAGTCTCACGCAATTGGAAACACTAAGTATTGAGAATTGTGATTCCCTAGAACACATCATAGCATATAAGAGCTCGGAAGGAGAAATAGCGGGTGGTGATAATGAAGAGAAGAGTTATGAGTCATTGTTCCCAAAATTAAGAACTCTTCAAATTAAACGATGTGGAAGATTACGAATGATCTTGCTAGTTCTTTTCAGCGGAGCTCTTGCATCCTTGGAAGAGATAACGATAAGTGACTGTGAGCAGCTGAGTTATATATTTGATAAGTTCCAAAATGGAGACCATACTATGCTGCCCTCACTAAAGAAAATGGAACTTTCTCAAGTACCAAGTTTCATCAGCATTTTTCGAGAATATCACAAATCCGTGTCTTTGTCAATGCAAAAGCCATCACCTCCAATTTTGAGAACAAAGACATCTGCATTCTCTTGGGCTCAAATGTGTTGTTTTGGGCATAAATCGAGTGAAGAGACCAACGTCGTCGTGTGTAAGGACAGAGTTCCGAACGACGCAACACAACAGGTGTGTTACTCTTATTGTTCCCTATTTTCGTTTTTCTCTGATATTTAATTGATATGTTCAATTAATAGAATAGTAATAAAACAATTCATAAAAACTAAATAAAATAAGGTAGGAGTGTTAAAAATATTTGATTCAAATATCACTACTCTGGGTTCAAAATTTACAGTATTCGTCATCGATGTGGATATAGCATTCCATTAAATATTTTAAATAGCAAACTGTTATATGTGGTCTGGTATTTGAACAACGGTTTCTGTTTGTAGGGATCATCATTTGCATCCAAGACATGGTTTGAAACTTCTGGAATCATTCTGAGACAACTATATTTCAATGTCGGTCATATCAAGAGGTTGAAATTGGCACAAGTGTCTTTAAATTCAGTGTCATTATTTACTTTATCCATGGCCTCGTTGATATTGTGGGAAGAGCTGACGGTTGAAGGATGTGATGGGTTGAAGGATGTGATAACAATGGAGGAAGATGATTATAATGATCAGATGATGATGAGTTGCCACTCTGTTTTTCCGAAGTTAGAGAAACTAGAAATCTTGGAGTGCAAGGACTTGCAATTTTTATTTCCATCTTCAATATCTATAGGACTTCAAAATTTGAAGTCTTTGATGGTCCGGAATGCTCCTGAGTTAAAATATGTTGCTGGAAAATACCATTATGTGGGTCATCCATCAAATCAAAATCATAACATTGAGCTTCACTTTGATCTCCCGAATTTAGTGTCACTCTGCCTTGAAGATGTACCGATGCTTATCAGTATTTTTCCAATGAATTATAACTTGGCATGGCCTTCTCTAGAGGATGCTACTTTGGAGAATCGCAACGTTGAATCTTTTACTGATGATTTGCTGGTTTGCCTTGAAGGACAACCAAACAAGGAAACCATCAAGGTACTTAATGCTCCATTTAACTTAATATTATTTATTTTATATATTTGCGAATTGCTACTAAAAATTGAAACTCTGATTTGATAAAAAAAAATTATTTTTGAATCTTCAAATATGTTAACCTTTTTAGGCCAATTGTATAACTCCACAAAGTTTATTTTGCTCTAAGAAAGAATAGGAAGAAAAAAAGAGAGAAGTAAATATAAATTTTAAGTCATCATATTAAATGAATTAGCTTTCACATACATCAAATTTAGAAAAGTTTATTTTTCCTATTTTTTTATCGATGAAAATTGAGGTAAAGTACATTCCCATCTAGCTATAATTTTTTATTTTGTAAATGAAGTTTTAAATGCAACAGTTTGTTCTTAAAACTATTAGAAAAATTTGAACAACTATTAATAAATTAAAGTGAATATATAAAGTCAATAGTTGATTCAAGTGGTTTATCAATTATTTCATAAGTTATTTTTCCTTGTACATTAATTTGTTTTTTTAATTTTTGCATGTAGGAATCAGATGCATCTGAAAATGTGATGCCTCCTACTCGAGCAACTCGGTGCCTTTCAGTACAATCATTGGATAATATTAAAAAGATGACTCTCTGTAATTTTTCCAAATCAAAGACATTGTTTACTCTACCAATGGCCTCCATGGTTATGTGGGAAAATTTGACAATCAGAAGATGTGAGCAACTAAAGCACATTGTGGCGGATGAGGGAGAAGTTGGAGCTCTCATGAATCACAGATCCATCTTTCCAAAGTTGAAAGAGTTAGAGGTTAAAAATTGTGATGCACTGGAATATCTATTTCCAGCATATGCTTTCAGATCACCCACACATTTGAAATCTCTAGATATTTGTAATGCTTCTGAGTTGAAATATGTGTTTGGAACAAGCCATCATGAGAATCAAAATATCCAAACTTACATTGATTTCCCTGTTCTGGAATGGTTAAATTTTGAATCCCTACCAAGCCTCTTGAGCATTTATCCTAAAAATTATTATTTGAGAGGCCTATCTTCTCTAAATTATTTTTTGTTAGGGACTCCAGAGTTTAATATTACATCTTTAACTGATTTCACGGTTCATGCACTTGGAGGACAACAGGATTCCACCCCTGCACAGGTATGGCTTTGTTCAACGTTTTCTTTTGGTGTTTTGTAATTTTCTTTTCAATTGATAAGTTAATTTTGATATATTAACGTTAATTGCTATTTATAATTTAAATATGATATTACAGGCAGTGCAGATGCTCTTGCAATCCTTACGATTTATTGTATTTCGTGAATCTAAAATAGAAGAGATTTTCAATTTAACACATATGGAAACAGAGAAAAAAGGGGAAGGACGTGAACCACTGACATCAACCTTAAATTGGTTGAAGTTGGAAACTTTAAGTGAGTTGAAGAATATATGTGTGGGCCCCAAATATATGCTTAGCCTCAACAACATTTCACGATTGATAATCAGAGGATGCAACAAGCTTAAAGTTATCTTCTCGAACTCTATACTGAAGAGCCTACCGAAGTTGTGGCGGCTGAAGATATTATCATGCAAGGAGTTAACTCACATCATTGGGGAAAATGCTGATGATGATCATTTGTGTCATCAACCATGCTTTCCAGACCTGTCTTATCTGACGGTTGAAGGTTGTGACAAGTTGAGATACTTGTTCTCTATCACAGTTTCTGGTATCCTTCCAGATTTACAAGTTTTGGATATAAAAGAATCTTCCAAACTTGAGCGCGTATTGATCGGACAAGATGAGACAAAAGAGATGGGGATGAGGGAAGTGCTTCCCAAAATTACAGATCTAACCCTTGAAAAGCTTTCAAGCCTTGTCAGTATCTGTAATGAAGTTGATTTTCGCAAATTGGAAAAATCTTCTAGAGTGAATGATTGTCCTCGATTTTCTTTCTACGGTATGCATTTAGAGAAGTGATTCTTCAAAATTAAAGATTATTACGTTAATTTTAATATAACATTGGAAATCTCTTGTGCAGAAACTACAACTCCTCCTCAGGTTCCAGAAAAGCTTTCCTCGCATGTAAATATGGGAGACGTCAAAGAGGTGAGATTATTGTTGCTCTCTAATATACATAGATTGTTTATCAGAAATTAAGCCCTTTGCGTATTAATCTTTATATATGCCCCAACCCTTTTTATATTTTGTTCTAATTACACAGACATTCCTTCTAGTTTGAAAATATATACTTAACTCCAAACCGTTAATGTCGTTAAGAATATTTAAAAAAAAAAATACTTTTTTAATTAAAATTTATGTGGAACTACTTTTTATTTACTGATTTACCCTTCATCCCTAAATTTTGGCTAAAACTATTTCAAAAAATTTAAGAATTTTTTCTTTAGCTTAATTTTATTTTTTATTTTTTAAGCAGTTATTTGTTTAATGTTTTTATACACAAAATTAAGTAATTTAGTTAATATAACCATAAAAAATTTGAATGAAATTTGATTAATTCTTTAAATAAATATATAATCAATCAAATAAGTTATAAATATTTGCTACAAAATTTTTTTTCAAAAATTTAAATATTGTTGCTCTTTCTAATGTAGATAGGTTGTCTATTACAAATTAAACCCTTTGCTAATTAATCTTTATATACGTACGTAGGATGAGTTGGTTGGAAGAAAATTGGTGAAAAATAAAGAAATAATTAAGGATCCACAACAATCAATAGTTGGTGCACCAGACATCACAAAGGAATGTACTAATGTTATTTTCTTGAGAATATTAGGAATTTTGTGGAAAGATAAGTGAAGGAGGAATACATAATTTTTTGTGTGGATCGATCAGACACACAAACACGATGAATTCAACATATATATTGCTCATCATTTTTTATTTCTACTGCTACATCACATGCATCATTATATGTAAGCGTTCTAAAGAAGCAAGGAAAAATTTTTGAAGACTAATTTACCTTTTTTTTTAAATATGGGATAATTAAAAAAAATTAGGTTAACTATTAAGTGTTTTCTACAGATAGCATATCTGTGTAAAGCATCACCAAAAGTGAAAATATTATCATTTCCATTATGGACGTACAGAAGTATACAAGACATGTCTAGAACTTAAGCATGTTTCTTATTTATATCTTTATGTAGGATGAAGAATCGGTTGGCAAAGGAATGAAAAATGGGAAAACTATGATGGATCCACAACAACCCACGAATGGCACCTCAAAATCGACAAAGGTATATTTGATAGCATTTGATTGTCTGAGAATATCAGGTATTTGGCATGTTTATAAGGAAACAGCCATATTTTGATCCAAATGTTTTTCAACAAAGATGAATTAAAATTCATTTGTGTATGTATTCATTTATTTACAAATTCAACATTACCTAGCTAGAAACTTTTTTTTTTTTTTTAGCGCTTTTGTTTGTCAGGGTACTCAAGAAATAAGAAAATAAGTTGGTAAAGAGCATCCTGTTCGAAATACAGAAAAAATGGCAACTTCATCATCTAATTTAAAATTCCTTGGAATGCTGGTAGCAAAAATATTTCTTGAATAAAGAAATATAATTACTGATTTATCATTTTGTTTTATTTAGACTAATAAAAAAGTAGGGTATTCATATCTTACTCAATTCAAATACAATTGAAACAACAAATCAAATAACAGCTTTAGAACCAATATTTTCTTTTTCACAACATTTTTTTTTTTCACAAGATACATATTCAAAGATGAAACTTTAGTTCTCTCTCAGACCAGATGTATGCATTTATGTGTGTGTGTGTGTGTGCGCGCACACAAACAAACACACACACACACAGAGTTATGCTAGATGAGCTGATTTACGCGTCTTTCTTGTTCACTTTTATATAGGATGAGTTGGTAGGCAGAGATGAGGAACAAGAAACGATGAAGATGGATCCCCAGTCACTTCCAAAAACCAGAGTTGGCATATGATCTTATAATTCAACAAATATTAACAATTCACTGAAGACTGATTTCCTCATACTTTCATATTATACAAAAATCCAACATAAATATCTTTGGTGATGTGCAGATTGTTGAAGCAAAACCTGAAGAACGTATTTCAACAGAGACCATACGTCCAAGCTCCCTAACTTCTAAAACGGTGGGCTTCTTGCAATCATTTAAACATTTAATGAATTTGTCGTTGGTATTATAACGTGTCCATCATTTTCAGCAGAAGGTACCTGTTCCTGTGAGTCCAAGATTCGATGTCCTTTCGGTTGGAGGCATCACCAGCAAAAATATTGAAATTCTTGAAGAGGAAGAGGAAGAGGAACGTAAGATCTTAGTGCCTTAATTTCAAAATTTGTAGCTCCTTTAATTTGAATATTACTTTTGTATCTTGGGTTTTTTTATAGGTGGCTTGATAGCTACCAGGAGACAGAGAAGTAGAATGAAGGCAGAGGATTCTTCATCAAGAAAAGAGCACGAGACTTCCCTTCATGGTACATATTCCTTTCTTTAAATGAAATATTTCAACCTTTGGTTAGCTATATTTTTATATATTTGATTTATTATAGTCATAGGTGAACCTTCTCTGCCACCCTTACCAGCAAGTCCCAGGCAAATTCCTTCATCTACTCCTTCCAAGTCCACTTATGGTGAGTTCCTTTGCTATCTTCTTTTATTAACTTTCCCTTCTTGCATTTTCAAATTTTGGATAGATTTTATACTTCAAGGTATTGGGTGCACTTAATAAAATACTTCAAAGTGCTGGATGCATCTGAGAAAACAAGTCGGGTGTTGGATGCACTTTAACCCTTGGTTTTATTATATCTCATTATTTTCTAATGCTTGTTAGGGATGGAACCTTCTTTTTATGATGCCAACAATGCTTTGAGTGTTCCTGGGGTGCAAGAGATAGCTGATATGATGAAACTAGGGGGTGCTGAGCCTTCCATGTTAGCAGAGGCATTCAAGACTCACCCACAACTATGTCTTTCTTCAGAGTACCGAAGCACTGACTTGTTGTGCTTCTCTTATAGGGTTCTGCTAAATATCTTGAACATTTTGGCCACTAGGAACCCCTTCACTATCACCGACGCAGACAAGAGAATGTTGGAAAATTATTTAAATGATGCTTCTGTTCTTGGTTTTGACAAAGATTGGCTTGGGTCTGTTAGAATGAAGGTTTTCAATTATGATGGATCTGAAGTTCAACTCATGCAACAAGTTCTAAATGATTTGGGCAATAAGCTCCACACAAAAAAGGCAGAACTTGCCAAAGCTGCACAATTAGCAGAAATGGCTCAGAAAGAGTTAGAGGCAGCTCAATCCCATTTTGACATTGCACAGCAAGAGCATGCAAATAGTAGGGAACTTCATTCTCAACTTCTCCAGGAATGCCAAGAAATTCTGGAACAACGAGATCAATGTTGGGAAACAATTGCTGCAAAATATAAGCCTTTTGGATTTTAGCATGTGCGCGCGCGCGCCATGTCTACTTTTGCAATTTTCTTTTTTTCAGTTGTGCTTATTCACATGCTTTTATTTCCCAAAAATTAATACTGTCATTGACTCTGTAATATCGTCATACTTTTATTTCCCAGTTCAGAAGTTTGTGTGTGTAATGTTGAGAAACGTGTTTATCCATTTACTTTTAAATTGAATCCAACGTAAAGAATGATGCATTGTTTAGCTGTTTGGCATATGTATGATTTTTGAAGCAATAACTGATAATTGATGATGCGTACGTTTCTCTTTGTTTTGTTTTGTTTTTTTTTTTTTTCCCGGTTTGCAATGCAATAACTTATGCTTTAAAATGATTTTGACTCTCCCAAAATATCCTTACATTTCATCGCCACAAATAAATTTGTGTTTCATTGTAGTGTGGGAGATTAAAACTTTCATTTTTGTGCCTTTTTTATCAACAAATTAATAAAAAGAAAACTTGTTATAATTTTTTTTTTGGAAATATTTGGTGTGTTTTTGAGTTGGTTTAATTTGATGCATTATTTTCCGTAGGGGTGGATTCAAGAGCACAATTTGGACAGTTCAAATTTAATATAATTCCTTTGCTAAAAAAAAATTTAATGTAATTCCTTTTTTTTTTAATTTAGTTAAGTAAACTTCCTCCAGCTTAGAAGGGGAAATGTAAACATACCCAAAGCGTATGGGCTGGATCGATTCAGTGTAAAATTGTGTTAGTTGAGTTAATCCTTTTTCCAATGAATTAGTATTTTTCCAATCCAACCCAAATTATGGGTTATTTGGGCTATTTACCAACCTACACTAAACTTTTCCCAAAAAATTTTCAGCCTTAAATATAATCCATGGGTCATATGACCCATTTTTAACCCATATATTGGATATTTCATTTGTTTTTATTAAGCCATAGTTTATAGTATACAAGATAAATATATAAGTTTATCTTGAGTTTATAATTGTGAGTCCAATAAAAATTTAATTTTCTCCTACAACATGATAAAGAAGTAGCATTTTTAAGCTGATTCTTCATGTCTAGACAAATAAGATTGATTTTAAAAAATACGGATCAAATCAGTCGACTGATAATTTGTATGGGTTGTTTTATTCAAGTTGTGGGTTAAGATACTGGCTAAAGAAAAAGGTTTTTTTTTTAGTTGCTTTTTTGGCAGTCCAACCTCACCAGAAAAGACTCGAATGAACCTAAATAAATCCATTTTAACTTATATTCTCATTTATTAAAAAAATTATATTCTCAGCTCTCGGACTTGTAAAGACAGATGAAGATAGGTTTTTTTTTCCTGTTTTGTTTTGTCATTTGACCTTGAATAGCACATATTGAAAAATATGATTAAAACAAAACTTTTGGTCTTCAAATTTTTATATATTATTTTTGAATTCTTTGTCAATATTATTTGCAAAACTAATTACTATGTACTCCTTCGGTCTTTAATATAAGATCCAATTATTAAATTGGTTTTAGTCCTAAATATAAGACACATTTTTTATGTTTATCAATTTTTTCTAAATTACCCCCATGGATACTCCATCAACCATAATCAAGTAGAAGAGGGAAATGTGGTATTAAAAAAGATGATTATAGTGTTTTAGAAAAAATATGTCATGTTTCTTATAATTAACTAATTTACCTAACTTTCTTAATCTAATTAAATTAGTTAAATGGGCCTTATATTAAGAATCGGAGAAGTAGTAAACTAAAATAACATTGTTTGAATTGAGGACCACATCCAAAGGCTATGATGAGTAAAAACATAATGTCTCACATTATAAACGAATTTTTTTAGACAACCATCTTATTTAGGTTCGATGATAATTGAATTTGATATGATAATTTTCCGTAAAAATACTCAGGAACAGTGTCTAATAAAATTTCCTCCAATGAAACATGTGAACAAAAAAAAAATAGAGAAATTATATATTTTGTTTTTAAATCATATTTTTGCTATATTTTTTTACTATTAAAAAAACTCATTTCAGAAAATCTCACAAAAAGAACATAAAAATACTGAATCTCAAATTAGTTGTATTTCTTACATTTTTATTTTAACTATAATAAGAAAATAACAATATACTCCTCTGGTCTTTAATATAAGATATATTTAATTAATTTAATTTGATTAAAGAAGTTAGGTAAGTTAGTTAATTGTAAGAAATATGATATATTTTTTCTAAAACACTATAATTATCTTTCTTAACATCTTTCCTTCTTCTTTTATTTGATTATGGTTAAGGGAGTATTAATAAGGATAATTTAGAAAAAACTAATAAATATGATAAATAAGTCTTATATTTAAGATTAAAATTAACTTAATATATATTAAGAAACAGAAAAGTATTTTTGTGGAAATTTTTAATTTGAGATGTAATATTTTTGGGTTGTTTTGCTGTTGGATCAAAGAAAATGAGGGCCCACAAGATCTTCTCCCATATTGCATCCCCACCCTTTCCGTACATGATAACCGAAAACCAATCATCCACGCCAGACTCAAACCTCCGTTCTATGTCCTCTTCCTCATCTTCAACATCACCAGCTACGACTATCAAACATCGCCGCAAACCCAACCAATCACGTTCCTCTTAAATTCAAATATGCCACGCGTCTCCACCCCATTTGTTCATTTCTGGACATTTAGCCTCGCTTCTAACACTTTAGTCCCGACCTTTATGACGGCCCCACATTTCCACGTCATCTTTGACGGACCCCACCGTCCGTTCCGTTCTGAGCGCCTCTCTCCCCCCCTTCCCTCGCTCCGTACTTTCTTTCTCGCATTCGTTTCAGTTCGCTCCTTGTCTCTTCTTTTTGGTCCTGTAAACTGAGCAAAAACCCTAATCAACCATTCTCGAGGAGCCATTGGCTGATGCTTCGTTGCGTTCGGTTACTATCGCTGAAAAGATATGCGGCATTGTGGAATGGTTTTCTAGTGCGAACTTGAGCACTGTCGGATTCGTCTGATCGGATTGCCAATGGTGAAGAGCCCTTCGGATTCGTGAATACTGAAGACTGCGATTGTTATTGTTTTCGGTCTTTATTATGTCTGATTTGGTGGCCCGTACGGGTCGGCTTAAGCAGCGGTATGAGAACGGATATCGCCTTGTCGCCGGGTATGTTTTTTCCCACCCAATTTCTTGATATGCCATTCGTGAGCATTTAGTGGGTATTATGATGACTTTTTTTTTTGGTATATTTTCTTTTTGAAATGTTGCTTTGTTGGATGATGTACGGGAGAAATGTCATTATCAGGCCGAGGTGCTATATGTATAAACGTACCTTTCATGTTAAGAAATTAGAATCTGGCTCATCACATTGTGGTTGAGTTTTTATTTTATTAATAGTTGATTGATGGTTTGATTTCTACATCTTGTTTTTTGGTTTCTATTCTTCTCTTTTTTCTGAGTCTTGTGGTGCTGTTGGGTTGCAACTTGCACGGTTTATAGTAGTATATTGACTAAATTTTCTATTTTCCGGATGATTACTCTTACCTAGTATTTCAAAATTCAAATCATCCTTCCAATACAGAAGGAATAGGATTATCAAGGACCTTGGGGTTGACCGGACGCATTGAGTTATTGAATTTTCTATTTGCTCCTATGATTGTGGGTCGAGGACTGTTTTAGCCAATTAATTTCTTCATTTTTGATGAGCAGGCCTACTTAGCAGTCATGCCTTGTCGTTTCTTTGTTCTCTTTTCGTTACGTCAAAATTAATTAATGCAATTAACGTAGTTGGGATCCTCACATAATTCCAAACTGAGGCAAAAAGTGAAATTTTTCCAATGTAAATTCTCAAAACAGAGGCTTTTTTGGATTTCGGAGTTAAATTTACCTTGCTTAATCAAGGTAAAATGGATGCTTTGTCTCACCATTACAGATGCAGAACTAATTAATCAGTCAACGTAAAAGTATATTTTTGGGTCTTTGAATTTTGGTGCTTGGAAGAATGTTATATAGTTTTGCCAATCTGATGTGATATTTTCCTGTTTTGAGGTTTTTGAGAGCACACTTGGGCTGACCCGGTTAGGTTGAATTTTGTGCTTTATTTTGGGTGTGGGTTCTTCTATTAAACAAATTAGTTTATATAGAGGTCAGGATTTGACGTAACTCTGTCCAGTTTAGTAAGTTTTTGCATGTCGGTGATACACAACAGAATTCTGGAAATTGTTAGCATGCCCTTCGCCCTGTGTAGTGCATGGTAGTTTAATTTATCAACAATTCTGCAAAAGCACTCTGGTGTTCAATTGTAATTTTTGCATTTTGTTTCTCTTGAATTTCTATTAGTCTTGTTGGCTTTCAGACATGAATTTTGCTGTCATCAGGCAAATTTTGAGTGGAATTTCTTTGTTCTCTTCCTCCTTTTCCTTATAGTGATATAATCCAAGCAAACTTGCATGCATGGCGTTTGATGGGGATGGAGTCGTTAGATCATCACATTGACTTGTCATATCATTTGATATATTATTTATTTTGTTATTTTGTTATTTTTTTTCTTCCTTTTTTTTTAAGAAAAATTGAGAGAAACCTTTAATTTCTCTTTCTCCAAAATTATTAATCAAGTAACTCAGTTTATAGGCATTAATAGATCATTTGTTGCAACCAATTTATAGTCTTTCTCAATTTTGAGCTGGCAAAATTGTGAATATTTTGGGGGGCAAAAAGTGGAAGGCAACCACAGAGGGAGAGGATGGACATAGCTGGTGGTGACATTCCTTGCATGTCTTAGTTGAAGCAAGGAGCAACTAAAACCATGTCAACCATATTCTTTGGCTGTTAATTGCATGACGATTAAGAGAACTTTGATATGATTGTGTTAGCTATATCCATGTGTGGTCTTGATCTTCCAATGATAATGTTACAGCCATTTCCAATTGTTGCAGGTGTGTTCCATTTAGGTATAGAGGTTCTGATGTTTGTGATTCTAATTCCGGGAAGACTGTCGAAGTCCTTATGATTAGCTCACCTAGTGGACCAGGCCTTTTGTTTCCAAAGGTATGAATGTTAAAATGTTCATTTTTATATTTATCTTAGTGCCATTTTGAATTAGTTGTGGATAATTGATTTTGTGCTATACAAGGTTTTTATGCAAGAAAAGTTTTATCTCGTAAATTGCTTCAGTGCTTTTTTTAAGCTGATCCACAGTGTCTAGCCTTCCATTTTTTTTTCCCCCCACAAGTTAACTAACAACTAGTGTTTGATATATGATGAACTTTTTTGCTGATGGATGTATTTGTTTTGAGGAGCAGGCATAAAGAGTTCTAATGTGTCAGACTTCCAGTAATTTTTTTTTTTTTTTCAAATTGAAGGTCTCATATTTATTGATATCGAGATGTTTATTTTATAGGTAGTTTAAAACCGTAACTTACTGTGCGTGGGGCAGTGGTGACATAACTGTGTCAACTTCCTTCTGTACACTATTGCATAGCTAAAATACTTTTGCCAAAATTGTAAAGCTTAAAAAGTACTTACAGTCTATTGTGTTGTGAATTTTTCTGTTTTCAGTGTATACATGGAAATGAAAACTGTATTTTTCAATTCTTGTGCCATTTAATATTAATCTTAGTAACTTGTTGAGAAAAGGAAATCATACACTGTACATCAATTCAAGGCGTTCATATAAATGTGAGGGTAACAGCAACACAGCTGTGACTAACGATTTATACTTTTGTAGCTCATTCCTATAGGTTTTTGGCTTATCTTGAATGAAGTAGTGTGTAGAGCTTAAGGTTCTCCATTGGCTGCTGGTTTTAAAAAGCTAGAAAATTGATAGACAATCTTTGATATAAAATCTAAAACAAAAGTCAGCTATCTCCGAGAAATTTTTTATGATAAAAAAGGTGCATTAAATAAATAAGATTGCTGTCTTTTTCTTTTAATCCTTTGCCGAAATTGACCTATGCAAGTTGGTATACCAAAAATCTAAAATTATCATGTTTACAAGGTGCCTAAAAATATACTAAGTCATAATTATTTTGGTTATTTTGGTTGTGATCGACTTTGTTGAACTTCGGCAGTCTCCTCATATGTTTTGCTTTTTCTGATGTTATTTCCACCAAAGGGAGGTTGGGAGAACGATGAAACTGTTGAGGAGGCAGCTATAAGAGAATCAATTGAAGAAGCAGGAGTTCGAGGAGACCTAAAGGTGAATTTTCCTAATCTTCCACCTAGTTCAATTCTATTTTTGTGATTTTAATTATTCAAGAATTTAATGCTATTTTTTTTTTTCAAATCTAAAGTTAATGTGCTTTAAAAATGGAATAAGAATGAAATTTTTCCCCATCAGGGAGGGGATTGTCTCTTCTAAAAATGAAAAGAATTTACATGTTAAATGCAGAAAATTGTTGAAGTATTCATTTATTTGTTTCCTAATTTTCTTTAATCGGGTATTATACGGTTTCAGGATTTTCTTGGGTACTTTGAGTTTAGGAGTAAGACTCACCAAGATGAGTTTAATCCAGAAGGATTGTGCAAAGCAGCAATGTTTGCATTGTTTGTCAAGGAAGAGCTTCATTCATGGCCTGAGCAGAAGTTTAGAAATAGGAGTTGGCTGTCTCTATCAGAATCATTTGGAAGCTGTCGACATGCATGGATGAGGGATGCTTTGGATTGTTTCTGCAAATGTCATGAGTGTGGGTTGACGCGCAAGGGACAATTTTCCTTGAGTTCAAAACTAGAATAAAATATTTTAGATGGTTGCTATCAGATTATTCAATAAGAAAATATAATATGTGAGAGAATATTTTTGGAATGATGAATCATAAATTTGATTAGTTGTCATGGCCTGAGCAGAAGTTTAGAAACATGTTTTTTATTGAAAAACTTGATGGCAAATCATAAATTTGATTAGTTTTTCATCATTTATGAGATACGTAGGGTTTTCTTATAATACTTGTAGAATAATTATAATTACATGATTATTGTTTTAAGTCTTTGGATTAATCTAAGTACTCCTCCGGTCCTAATTATAAGACCCAATTGACTTATTTGAGGAAATTAAGGAAGTAAGTTAAGTTGGTTATTTATAATAAATAAGTGTTGTCATTCCTAAAATATCCTTGCTAATTAAGTATATTGGCTAAAACTATCATTATTAGAAGGATTATCTTGGAAAAAAATGCATAAATATAAGAGAGAAAATGGATTGGATCTTATAATTAGGACCAAATAAAAAGTCAAATTGGGTCTTATAATAAGGATTGGAGGAGTATTAAATTGCATTCCATACTTCTTGAGTTTATATATATTGACATACTAGTTCAAGTAGTTCTTAGTCCTACCTGATTTTCACCATTACATGGGTTTATCTCGCGCTGCTGCTCTGGAAAAAAATTCATGTAATTCTTACCTATGGTTACCCTATTTTAATTTATTCCAAAACTATAATTTCTCGATCAATTATATAGTATTAATTTATAAGAGGATTTTACCTATATTTTGGCTAAATTATGCACGATCTTTGTGAACCGTGAATCATATGAAAACATCTCTCTTAGTAGCAAGCCCTCTAAGCCTTTATATTTATACCTGACCCAAAAAAACTTTATACAAATAAAACATTTGGTTTATCAAAATTGTCATTTATTAAAATAAACTTGTCATTTTTTATAGTCAACTTGTCATTTGACTAAAAAAAGATTTTAGACATTTCACCCACATTTCATATTTATAAAAATAAAACTGGGTCCTTCTTTGTTATTTTCTGAATTTAGGGTTCCAAATTGCAATTTACATATTTGGGGGTTTTTATTTACAATTTTCCCAAAACTTTATACAAATAACAATTCAGATGATGTTTATTTGCTGGAAATAAAATCCGACATTATCAGTAACATAATTGAGTATTAAATGCCAAGAAAATTATCTCATGAACTCGACAACTTGGTAAAATAAAATTTCAAGAGTTTTTTTTTTTTGGGGGGGGGGGGGTTCAAAACTGAGGGGGCCATTTGCACATGGTTGTGGAGGTACGAGATTAAACTTTGATGTTCTAACAGCATAACAAAATATTCTCAAACAGTTGGGGCAAATTATTCCTTTTTCTAAAACACTTTTTGACTCAACACACGAGTGTCCCAAGGATCAGGGTCACGAACAGCAGCTCACTTCACATTAAGCCAACTCCAAGTAAAAACAAAACGGTTGCAGATGGGACCATTCCATTGGAAAATAATAAAATAAAATAAAGCGACTGCATTGCGTGAAAAAGAAAAATGGAGAGAAAGAGAAGAAAAATGAATTAAGCCGATCAGAAGAGAATTTGTACAATAATATATGTAACGTATATATACCTCAAAATCTGGGAATACATGCTTTATGAGTTATGAATGAATGACATATTGCAAATTTCCACCGTGTCTGCCTTGGAATCTCCAATAATCTCTGGCATGGCAAGCCAAATTTCCTTCCTTTCTCCCCCCCAACTCCACCCATTTTTCTAACTGTTTATCACAAGAGTAAATCCAGTTAAAACTGCTTTTCAACAGCCAGAGCTTAAGTTATTATAGTTCAGAGCACATGTGGGAGCAAGGAGTAGTTCTCCACTTCTTTGCACAAGTCTGGGCCCCAAAAACAATAGGCTGAAGGGCTGAATGAGAAAAGCAAGCTATGATACAAATCTCAAATGGTGTAAATATGGATCCTAGATCAATTCTCATCGAGAACAATATCGGCAGGGTCTCCTATCCAAGGCCTCCCTTCCCGCCATCGGAACTTAATTCTTAGCTTACCATTTGAATCTACTCCAATCACCTGTCCCTTGCTGGCATGTGTCTCCATTCCCCATCCCCACCGGGGGGACACCAATCCGTCTCGGATCTGTACTTTATCCCCAACTTTAAATGGTCTAACTCTTTCCATTTCCCATGCCTTGCAAAGCCATAGCCTCTCAGTGAAACAGAATGCCACCCACAGATCATCATCTTCCATACGATGCACAACCCCTAGGCTTGAATGGTTCACTTCTCCCCACTGGTGGGTTGGGGTCGAAACAGTTGATCTAACCTTGACCCAGTCTCCAATCCGGAGCTCTTCCTCTTCCACCAAATCTACTTCTGATGGATCCAGCATCCATGCTTTTGATCCTGCCGGAGTGTATATTCGAAGTTTTCCATCAGCATCAATAGCTGATATGGTTCCGATACTAGCATGGGTGTGTCCAGACCATCCAAATCTTGGCTGCTTTACAGTTTGTTTAACTCTAACCTTTTGTCCAACAATGAGTTTCTCAACTCTTTCGAGATATGAAGTTGGTCCTACCCACCTTTCTTGTTCCCCACAAAAGCCAACATGAATGTTTCCATCCCATAGATCACCTTCATAACCCATTCCTTGTACAACACCAACACTACCTGGTCCAACAGATTTCCAGTTATCAGCATCATCTTTCAACTTCACCCATTCTCCAACTTCAAACATGTGTTCAATCTCAAGGTCCACGGGATCTCCTCTCCACAAACCTGGCAAACCAGAGAATGCCACCCTCACTTCTCCGTCAGCATGAATACTGGTTATAACACCTCGTGATTCAGGTTGAGCTCCTCTCCAGCCCCATCTTGGTTCGACCAAACCAGTTCTGAACCTAACATATTGCCCAACTTTAAAGCTAGGAACCTTTTCAACATCTGTATAGTGAGTGATCCACTTCCCTTTACGAAAACAGCAAGCCAACTCCAAGTATCCAGAATCCTGTACACTATGCACAACAGCTATGCTTTCTTTTCCAACACTATTCCAGTCATAACTTGGTCTGGTTCCCAGGCTTGGTTTTGAGCGTACCCAATCACCAACTTCAAATCCAGGAAGTCGTTCAGCATCTCCAGGAGAAACTTTCCACAAGCTCTGCCTACCAGTGACTCTCACCTGTGAAGAATAGCAGAATCAGAGTCTAGTAATTTAGAGGTAAATTCAGTTAACCTAGCCATTGCAAATCTTCCTTTTTCTTATCTCAAAAGTGACCAACATTTCAACACCCCCCCCCCCCCGGGGTTGGTCAGTGTCTACAAGGATATAAGCAAAGCAGTTGTGTCATAATGCCAAATGCCTCAACTTATGGGCGATCACAGCTATATGGCAACTTGTTAACAGCAGTAATAACTGCTATGAATGGCTATTTACAAGTGATGTTATATGGCTCCATTTAGTGGCTTTTGCAAGACAAAATGAATGCTTATCTCTACTTGAACAGCACTATGCGACTTGTATGATTTAAGCAAATGCCTCTACTTAAACTAAGGTCCTATTTAGCAATCGTTTTGGACGACAGATCAAAAATTTTTGTTCAGTTAGAGAACTAGAAAATATCTGGTCTAGATTTATGAAAAACTAAATTAGAAGGCTTACATTTAGAGCACCATCCATGTCAATTCTCACTACTTTCCCAACAGAAGCTGGTGATTCATTTGACCATCCAAGCCGAGGCTGAGTAACAGATGGCATCACATGAATCTCTTGTCCCACCTCAAAAGGGGGAACCTTCTCCACATCAGTGACAGAACAACAGAAAGGCTTACTCCTGAAGCAAAAGGCAATACCCATATCCCCGTCCTCCTCCAGGTTATGAATTACCCCGATACTACTCCTTGTAATATCATCCCATCCATACTTTGGAGAAGACACTGAAGCTTTCACTCTGACCCAATCTCCAACCTGCAGCAAATTGATAAATTAAAATAGAAAAAATATGTGTTAGGCATCCAGCAATAGATAGTTGAAGGCATAAACTCCAAGGCAGCAAACAGCAAGAATAACCACCTTGAAATCTTCCACCTTCTCCATGTCAGATGGATCAGCCTGCCACGGTATGGGTCGGTTTGGTATATCGATTATTAATAAACCATCATTCTCTATCTCACTTATTCTTCCAACACTATGATGCGTCTCGCCACCCCAAGCATATCTAGGTTCCGCAACAGATCGCTTCACACAAACTTGATCACCAATCTGTAATAATATCAACAATTTGTTAGACACTACTATATAACAACAACAACTACTAAAAATGAAAGGAAATGGCAATCTACATTTTTCTTACCCTAAAAGGAGCAACATGCTCAACCTCTTCTGGCTCACAGTGCCATGGATTTGGCAGATAGCTCAATTCAATTAAGAGACTACTGTCTGGTCTGATACAATATACTATACCAATGCTTCCTGGAGTCACAGACCCTAATCCGTGCTTTGCAGATGTAAGAGTGGGGCGAATGCGAACCCAGTCTCCAACCTTGAACTCCTCAACCCGTTCCATTTCGGATGGATCAGCTTTCCATCCTCTGGATGCTCCAGGAAACCCTACTCGGAGGATCCCATCATCATCAACGCATAAAACTGTCCCAATGCTGTCCCGTGACTGTCCACGCCAACCAAACCTAACACAGACAATCAATTATTAATAGTGTAGGAAAATTAAAAGGCAGCAAGAACTAAGAACTTATGAAATGCATGAAGCACTAAATAACAAGAAGTCAAGTCACATATGCATCTTTTCTATTTTACTTTTCGTTTGTCATGAAATTAGAGCTTGCCGCATTTAGAAATGACTCAAATTTTCCCACTATTATTATATAATTTACCCACATCGATCCTAGGAGTTAAGGGAGAAATCCAAAAGAGAAGGTACAGTGCAATGTCGAGGACACTAACCTCCACATGGGGATGTGGAAAATTATCAACCTCCAAATTTCC